ATGAAAACCCTGTGGATCACAACAGTCTGATCCACAACTGATTCTACGGATAATGCAGGACTGGACAGCATTTCATTCCGTTGTGGTGGGGTTGCCATGAGTTGGGGGGTCTATTCAACAGCAGCTAACAACGACAACAACTTTAAAACATATCTAGAATCTGACCATTTTTTGACATCTCCCTTTTTACTTCCCTGGTCAAAGTGACCATCGCCTCTTGCCTGGATTCTTGCAACAGCTTCCTAAACGGTGACCTTGCTTCCCTCCTTGTCCCCTACTATCTGTTCTTCTCATGGAAGAATCTATCAAACCTAAGTCAGATTATGCTCATCCTCCACTCAGAACTTTAAAGAGGTCTTTTGCAGAAGATCTGCCCACTGCAATGCATTGTTTGATTTCCTGATTGCTGCTTCTATGGACATTGATTGTTGATCCAAATAGAATGAAATTACTGACAACTTCCATGTTTTCTCCATTTATTCTAACGTTGATGCAGATTCATACTCTTATCTAAAGTGTATTACATAATATATGGAATATTACCTTTCTAAAAGTTGGAAAACCATGAATATTGTGACACATCTGGCCCAAAAGTTTTTCATGAAGGGATTTTACATTTATCTACATTAAAAATTATATCTATCTATCTATCTATCTATATGCTGTGAGCATTTTACTGTCATTAAACATTATTGGAAAACATAATTTTTAATGGTTGCATAGTGTTCTGTCATGTTGATGCATCCTTCTTCATTCAGCGGGTTTGGTTCCAGACCACCACAATAAAGTGAATATCACAATAAAGCAAGTCACACGAATTTTTTGGTTTCCCAGTGAATATAAAAGTTATGTTTACACTATACTATAGTCTATTACGTGTGCAATAGCATTTTGTCTAAAAAAAAAGTACATGTCTTAATTAAAATATACTTTATTACTAAAAAATGCTAACCATCATCCAAGCCTTCAGTGAATTGTAATCTTTTTGCTTGTGGAGGGTCTTGCCTCGATGTTGATGGCTGCTGACAGATCAGGGTAGTGGTTGCTGAAGGCTGGGGTGGCTGTGGCAATTTCATAAAACAAGGCAGCAATGAAGTTTGCCACATTGATTGACTCTTCCTTTCACAAAAGATTTCTTTGTAGCATGCGATGCTGTTTGACAGCATTTTACCCACAGTAGAACTTCTTTCAAAATTGGAGTTAGTCCTCTCAAACCCTGCCATGCTTTATCAATGAAGTGTATGTAATATTCTAAATCCTTTGTTGTCATTTCTACAATGTTCACGGCATCTTCACCAGGAGTAGATTCTATCTCAAGAAAATACCTTCTTTGCTCTTTGCTCATCCATAAGAAGCAACTCCTGATCTGTTAAAGTTTTATCATGAGATTGCAGCAATTCAGTCACATATTTGGGCTCCACTTCTAATTCTAGTTCTCTTGCTATTTCTACCACATCTGCAGTTACTTTCTCTATGGAAGTCCTGAACCTCTCAAAGTCATCCATGGGGGTTGGAATCAATTTCTTCCAAACCCTTGTTAATGTTGATATTTTGTCCTCCTCCCATGAATCATGAATGTTCTTAATGGCATCT